GTAAAGGGAAGAAACATCTATCATCATACAAAGAAGACTGTTGGGTGGTAACTGTCCGTTAGTATCTTCTATTATGTTAAGAAAGTGAGTAGTATCCTTCACGTAAGAGGGGAGGGTATATGGTATACGTCATGTAAAATGATAAATATGCTTCAAGAACACCAACTGACAGGTCTATAATTAAAGTAGGCTGGTAGAGGGAAGACAGCTAGTCATCACCGCCAACTCTTGGGCTACTCTTTTTACCAACGAATAGTGGGATTGACCGTTACATTATAACGCCCCCATGTCTGAAAGGGCGAGCATTTTTGGGGGGACGGGGATTACAGAGAGTAAAATAAGATTTAAGTTGTTAATGAGGTCATAATTATAAGGGATTTTAATTTCAGGCAAATAGATTTGTAAATATTAAAAGTCAAACTATGAGGGAGACAGGTTTTTAGAAACTGTTCAGCTGTTTGTTGAATTTTGGGCAAATCTACACGAGGGCTATCTACACCAGCCATCCCTATTTTAACAGTGAAAGACGAGAGGGAAGGCAGCTAATTATCATCACCCTTTGCTAACTTTTTAACCAAGTAATAGTGGGATTGACCATCACATTATAATGCCCCAATGGCTGAAAGAGCAAGCATTTTTGATGGGATGGGGATTCGAACCCGCAACCCTCAGATTGTTAGTCAAGTGCCCTAACCACTTGGCCATGCCAGGCAAGCTGTTCAGGATGGTTTTCTTCACCAACTGGTTAGGGAACCTACTGGGAACAATGCTGTTTTAAGTTTATTGGTAACTAAAAATAGAGAAATGGCTCAGAAGGTGGAGAGCAGACAACATCTGGGTGCAAGTGATAATCGTTCAATCAGGTTTGATGTTTTAATTATATATGGAGATCAGGAATAATAAGACTGGCCACAAATTTGAAAAAGCACATTTTGAAGGTATGTGACAAGAATTATTAATTGTTAATTGGGCAACTTGATCAACTGGAGATAGTGATAAAATGTAGAAAAATTGTTTTTAGATATTCAAGATATACACTCCCAATATTGATAGGTGGTGGCTACAAGTGTCATAAATTTAAGGTTAAATGGAGTGCTATTACAGAATACTTAAAGGATATTATAAAATCAAGAAAGTTGGTCAAACATGTCATTTGATAAACCAAAAAAAAAGTATATGAAAAAAGTTGGCTGAAAAAATTTAACACATTAAGGGTAAGCAAAATGTTCGACTGGGAATGGGGGCCTCTGAGGGATGACAAGTAAGGCTCATTTTGGTGACTGTTAGATGGCTTATTTATTAAATTCTACTTTCCTTCAATTTTTACTACTGGTGATTTAAGCAATATTCCTCATCTTGAACAGTTGCTAGATGGAAACAAGATGATCACATAAATTTTGAGCTCAAGAAAAAAATTGGGAAGTTTAAAGAATTATAATGTTCGTGGGCCAGATAATATTTCCCTAAGGTCTTTGAAGGAAGGATTGGATATGTGAGCCACTTGCTACTAATTTTTTTTAAGTCCTTAAAGAGTGGGCAATGCCAGAAGACTGGTAAATTACTAATATTACTCTTCTTGTCAAAAGAGGCGAGACTGACGTCTTGATATTACTTAGCTGTGAGGATGCTCTTGCTTTACAAAAAGATTTATATTATTTGATGAGATACGTGAATAAATTTCAGGTGGCTTTAAATAATAATAAATGCAAGGCAATACATGTGGGTTATCACAATTCAAGCTATAAGTATAATTTTGGTGTTCTGATTGATCAGTATCTTAAGCTATCCAAGCAGAGTGCTGTTGCTAGTGGAAGCTCAAATAGGATTGTAGATGGTATTTACAAAGATACTGAATACAAGTCTAAAGAGATTTCATTGTGTAGATTACTGGTTAGGCCACTCCTGGAATATTGTGTTCAGTCTTGGGCTCCTAACCTTAGGAAAGGGTTACTAGAATGATGCATGGGATGGAGGGGTTGTCATATGAAAAAAGGCTGAAATCTCTCAAATTGTTTTATCTTGAAAAAAATAAGAGTTAGTTTGGATCTGATTGAGGTGTTTAAGATTGTAAATGGAATTGATAGTGTTGATGTATCATCTTTTTTTATATTTAAAAGTGAGAATAGTAGGAATAGGGAACACAAACATAAATTTTGGCAACGTAGACAGCTAAGACAGTTTCATTTCTATAACAGGGTGTTTGGCCTTTGGAATGGGTTGCCTTCGGATGTTGCAGAGGAAGTAAATTTAAGTGAGTTTAAGAAAAAGCTTGATAAGTATATGAATGATAAAGGCTGGCTTTAAGATATTTTACCTCAGGAAGAACACTGAATTGTTGGAAAAAGTTTAGAGAGGTTACTAGGTTGACATCTGGGATGGAAAAGTTATCATATGAGGACATGTTGAGATTTAAATTTTTTTTTTCTCTTGAAACACGCACAAAAAAGAAGAATTAGAAGAAAACTTGATCAAGGTTTTAAGATTGTTAAAAGAATTTGTTTTGTGTTGATGCATCACCTTCTTTCATACATAATAGAGATAATGATCAAACTAGGGGAGACAAGTTTAACTTATGTCAGGGTGGTAGCCGTATTGAACTATGAAATTTCTGCTTTTATAACAACCTTGTTGGCCATTGTAATGGATGGCCTTAATATGTGGTGGATGCACTAAATTTAAGAGAGCTTAAGAAAAAACTTGATAAATACTTGAATGAAAAAAGCTGCTTTAATTTGTTTTGTGGATGTGACAGCCTAATAACTTCACTGTTGTGCTATAACTATTTTAACGGAAACTTTTCTGAAGTAAAAATCAGTACTTCTTGACTGTCTGCAAGTTCTTTAGTTTACTCAGTTTTGATAGAAATACAGTATTTATTAAAATACATCATCAATTTATAACTCGTAGTAATTCATCCAGAAATGTTCGACACTCCAAACCGATCAAAACATTGACTCATATTTCTAAAGTTAGTGTAGTTTATTTTTTAAAAGGTCAAAATTAAATAAATTACTGATACAAATGCAATCAACTGTCTAACAGAATAAACAGAAATGTCAAAACACTTATAAATTCTAGGATATATATATATATATA